CTAATTCAGAAACTATGAATTGCATTTTGTAAAGATTCAGCCTACCTCGTCTAAAACTCGTATGCAAATTTATTTTAACTTGCTTTGATGGGACCCCGACGGGTCTTTAATAAAAATTATCTATCTATCTATCTATCTAACTGTACCGCCTATGCGAATGGTCCGACAAATGGCTGCTAAAGTTGATTCTTGAGAAGTGTGTCGCACTGCGACTCAAAACAAATGGAGGGGTTGATGGAGAGGATCACCATTACCTGCTTGGTAGAAGGGGACTTTCAAGTGTCACCGAACGAAAAGACCTTGGGATCAATATTTTGTCGACTCTGGAGTCCTCCTGTCAATGTGTTAGGCCGGCCAAAAGGGCAACCGGTGTTCTCTTTGCCATCAAACGAATTTTCATCAATAAAGACAAAGAGTTATTTGGAAAAGTTTAAGGAGCATTCATTCGTTCGCATCTGGAACATGGTATCTATGCGTGGCGCTCGTGGCTGAAAAAAGAATATAAGTTGCTGTGAAGAGTACAGAGGAGAGCGACCAAAACTGTGAAAGGCCTCAAGACTTTACCTTACAACTGCAGACTTGATGAGCTTAACATATTTCCTCTTCAGTAGGGGCAGATGCGAGGAGATCTCATACAGGCCTACCGGATTTTTAGGAACCGGGACTGTGCCCTACACCTCGATGATTTCTTCACCCTAGCCACAGCAAAAAACCTAGATGGGAACTCTTAAAAACTTGAAGGATCCCGACGCCGTCTGGACGTTCGCATATACTCTTTTTCACAGCGAGTCGTCGATGTCAGGAGCGGGGTTCCCGAGGACGGAATAATGGCGGATTCCATGGAGACATTTAAACATTTGAAAAATGCCGCTTATCTAGACAGAACAGTTCTGTTATACCAAACCAACGCCTTGCGTACACCTGCCTATAATGCGGATGATTGTCATTTCATTTTGCCGTTATCGCATTCAATTGAGTGTTCTCGAGTTTCAGTCCTTCATTTTCAAAGAAAATAATCTGTTAAGTATATACATATATATATTATTGACAACAATTTAGTACGATGTTTTTTAAAGTTAGATATTGCATCAACCGTTCCCAGTAGGGTTTTCAAAGGCACTACCTATTAAACTTAAAATATACGGACCTAGTATACACACCTATTTACCTATATTTGCCAATGACTGTGACATCAATATCAGTAACGCCCATTTTGCTCATATGCCACTGATCGTGTTCCAATTTTAAAAACGATAAGTCGAGGCATATACTAGGGAATAAGGCACTGCAACGAAAACATTTCACTAGCGTTCATTCCTCTAGAGTCTGGGGCGACCATCTCGCCTGGCAGTCGGAGGACAGTGCCGAAAACCATTTCAACTGCGCTACAGCCCAGATCCGACTTCAGAGCTGCGCGGATGCCAAAATGTGCAAGAGGAAGGTTGTCCGACCAGTTTCCTGAGTCTTCTACGGCACGCAGGGCAGTCCTTAGCTGGCGATGGAGACGCTCAACCATACCGTTGGCAGCTGGGTGGTAGGCTGTCGTCCGAATGCGTATGTAGCCAAGAAAATTGAGTAGAGTTTGGAAGGGTTAAGACTCAAACTGGGCACCACGATCAGTCGCAACCGCGAAGGGGACAGCGAACATGGCGACCCAATTTCAGACAAAGGCCTTCACGATGGTTTCAGCCTGCGCATTCGACAAAGGAATGGCTTCAGCCCAGCGAATATATCGATCGACACAGGTAAGGAGGTGGGTAAAACCATTGGATGGAGGCAAGGGGCCTACGACATCCAGGTGCACATGGCTGAACCGTGCGTCGGGACTGGGGAAAGTGCCTGGTGTGGACTTGTTGTGACGCTGCACCTTGCTGCGCTGGTAATTCAGACACGATCGAGTCAAAGCTTTGACCTCCTTGGTCATGCCATGCCAGACAAAACTTTCCGTGAGGATCTTTTGAAAGGTTCGGATTCCGGGGTGGGAGAGTCTGCGCAGGTTTTGAAATACAGCTCGACGCATCGAGGTGGATATGAAAGGGCGATGAAAAGGAGTCGTGACGTCACAAAGTACGGTACCAGAGCCGGTGGTCAGAGGAACTTCTTTGAGTTGGAAACCACTAACGGACTCGTCGCCAGGACAACTGACGCGCTGTTGCTCAGCCGTCATGGCGCAAAGATCGATGCCTTGTGGGAGTTGGAGGGAAGATAGTGGGGGCCTGGACAGCATATCAGCCACCTCATTCTTCGTGCCATCAATGTGGCGGATGTCGGTGCTGAATTGGGAGATGTAGTCCAGGTGGGCGATTTCGCTCGGATTGTACTTGTCGGAGTGGGACCGAAGTGCAAAAGTCAACGGTCTGTGGTCCGTGAAAACAGTGAAGCATCGACCTTCAAGGAAATGCCGGAAATGCTTCGCAGCCAGGTAAATGGCAAGTAGTTCATGGCCAAAGATACTGTAGCGTGTCTCAACTGGTAAGCGCTTTTTGAAGAAAAAGTCAAGTGGTCGAGTCGAATCAGCAAGGTGTTGTTGAAGGACTGCACTTACGCCTACGGTGAAAGCATCTACCATCAGGGACAGCTGAACTTCGGGAGCGGGATGAGTGATTAAGGTGGCATCGGCAAGGAAATTCTTAATTCTCTCAAAAGCAGTCAGTGATTCACCAGTCAGCTCGAGGGGACCTTTGGGACCAGAAAGCCGGTTGGTGAGCGGCAGAATGGGGTCAGCACAGTTCGGTAGGAACCGACGGTAAAAATTGACCATGCCGAGGAATCGCTGTAAACGACGCTTGGAAGTTGGAGGAGGAAAATTACGAACTGCTTCAACCTTGGAGGGGAGGGGACGCAAACCTTCAGAATCGACCTGATGGCCAAGGAACTTGAGCGAAGGCACACCCAACACGCATTTGGAGGGGTCGACGACAACGGCAAACTTGTCAAGACGGTCAAACACCAAGGCAAGATGCTCTTTGTGTTCTTCCTCATTCCGGCTGGCCACCAAGAGGTCATCAGTGTAGGCGTACACAAAGGGTTGGCCACGTAAGATATGGTTGATAGACCTCTGGAACGTCTGGACGGCATTACGAAGACCGAACGGCGTGCGGATGAATTCAAAGAGACCGAAGGGTGTGGTGACAGCAGTTTTAGGGATGTCTCAAGGGCGACCGGAATCTGATGAAAAGCACGCACCAGGTCAATCTTCGAGAAGACCGCTTTGCCGAAAAGGGCTTCAGCAGAGTCCTGAAGATGAGGCACGGGGTGTCGATCATGAATGGTGGCGCTGTTGAGGGTACGATTGTCGTCACAGGGTCTTCAGTCACCCGATGTCACCTTGGGCACCATGCGCAGTGGGGACGCTTAAGGGCTCTCGGACTGTCGAATTATTCCCAGTTGCAGCATTTGTTCAAACTCCGCCTTCGCGGCCTGAAAACGCTCCAGTGATAGTCGACTCGGCCGAGCAAACACGAGAGGACCTGAGGTGCGGATATGGTGCACAACATCGTGTTGGACCTCACCACTACGAAACTGGGGGTTGATTATTTTGGGGTGTCTGAGAAGCAGTTCCCGATAGGGGCTAGCAATATCAGTATCCAAGACAGATAAATTGGTGGGGGCAGTAAAGGGAGCTAGCCCACGAAAAGACAGGCCGGTTGTGCGATCGAGGAGACGGGCATGTTGACAGTCAACATGGAGGCCAAACTCACCAAGAAAGCCCGAGCAGAGGATTTTATGAGGAACATCAGCAATCACAAAGACCCAGGTGAACGACCGACGGAGGCCAATGTTCAGGTTGAGGGACAGACGGGCAAAAATGGGAATGGCGGAACAGTTGGCAGCTTGGAGGTAAAGACCAGGGCTGGGGAAACGACGATTAGCTGAAGTTGGGGGAATAACACTGATTTGGGCTCCAGTGTCCACCAGGAAACGTCTGCGAGTCGCCGTGTCGCAAACATAGAAGGCGCGATCAGAGCCGGAAGTAAGGCGTGCGAGCTGTAATTTAAGGGAGGCCATCTCACCCGTCATGGCCGACACCTGCTTCATTAACTGCTCATTCACTGTCGGATGTGGAGATCTGGGCAACGGAAAGCGACTGGAACCGCTGCACCTCTATCATTCAATCCACCATTTCAGCCAGCTGTGAGGCCGTGAGATCTTCAGAACCGGACGCCAGGATCGTTTCATTATCTGCAGGCAGGCGCTCTAGAAGCATCTCCTTGACGAATTTGTCGCCAACCTGAATGTCTCCAGCGAGAGAACGCACTCGCGTATAAGTTCTGATGGCTTCCGTTTACCCAGTGACTCCTCCTTAATTAACTGGTGATACCGCTGTCGGTCGGACAGAGAATTAAGTCGAAGAATTTCTACTTTTAACGTAGAATAGGGAACATCTGCAAGGACTGAACTTGAGAGATCACACTAGTGGGGAAAACCTTCACAAAATTGTGGTATTTCGCCAGCTCCTTGGTAACGTTAGCAAAATAAAAAACTACGTTGATGCGGATGAAATAAAGCTCTGGAGCGTGTTGCCAGAATTCGGGCCGGGTAAAATTTACTGTATGAAGGGATTGGGCGGGGCACCGAGTTGTTGATTGGAGTGAGACAAATTATCAAAACAAAGATGGTAAAGTATGGAGAAAATTTGTGAGAAAAGTAGGCGTAAATGGAATAGAAATTCAGAAACAAATAGTACATTAAATATTATTCAATATGACCTAGAAAGGTATAAAGTCTGCGTTAACGTTGGGAGTCACCAATGACGTAAATGGCGATGTTCTCACGAACTAACGAGTTATATCTCACGAGCCCTTAGTCCTAAAGGCAGCAAGCAAAACCGACCAGTAAATAATATAGAAATTCTGAATGTTAAGCAGCCTGACAACAGAGCGCGACAGCTAAGCAGGTCAGCAAAAGGGGTTGCACAAGTGTGTTGTTTTTCGTCCCATCCAAACAAGCAATGCGGGCAGAGAAAACGGGACTAAATTGTCAAAGGTAAATCATTCCGGTACCTCAGCACAGGTTTACTACGTTACAGTAGGCTGGGCGGGAAACTTGACCCAAGTGTGATTAAACTCACGAGCTCCGGTGGGTTTTCGTAAGTCAGGTGCTTAGAGCGTTGGCTGTACCCAAAGCATGCCATTGTCGTCGTAGGCTCTAACTTCCCCGAGTCTGCTGACTTTTACAAAACAGGGTCAAATGATTATGAGAAATTCACTTTCGGTCGCATGCTATGGTAGGATTTACGACTGGACTAAGCGACGATAATGCAATTCAAAATGTGAAATGTTGGACTGCGATTTGGTTAATATGACATCTATTCGTTAGGCTCGTTTGCCCTTCGGGATGATCTGGATGCGTCCAGAAACGTTCATGTGGGATACTTCCACTTGTGTCGCAAGCGCACATATCGCTAGGTGGAGGTCTACTCTGACCATCCCTCTAAACTCATAATTAGCGGCAAAAGAGTACCCTGTCAGTAAATTATACCTATCAACAACTAATTATTCGCTCCTTAGCGGCGTCTCCATTAAATGCTGCATTAATATTATCCGTGCCTTCAGTGGTGTCAACTTACCGAACCAAAGGATATTTAATTCAGCACACAATTACAAAAGCGACTGTGAAGACACTGACATAAGTTGAATCTTTCGGTGGCAATAAAAGGCCCGATGACACCATTTAAAGTGACTGCAGCCAAACAGATGCAATCAAAATACGGAAGTGAGAGGCGGCAATTCCATATGTTATAACATATCCAGTTCGACGAATTTATGGCATGGTCACAAGTTTGTCCGTAAACAACAGCATTCTGACCTTTGTTTCAGCACCTTCGCACCCACCTTTGCATCAGTAGTATGATTTTCTTCATGAATTTTCTGTGCATATATTTATTTAATCCTAGTTCCTGGAAAGGTCGCCCGGAAAACTCGCTCAAACCACCATGCTATTTGTACTGGCGTCCCCTGAATGTCGAGAAAAATCGTCATAAAGCACATTGCCATTAAGATTTTTGTTATTTGGTTGGCAATTAAAGTAATATTTCGCAAAGCAGAAAATCTACGTCGTGTAAATGGAGGGGAAAAACATTTCAATCCGAAAGTGACGCCAACAAAGGAGGCTGTTTATGACAATTCTTTAGATTGGTGTATCACTGGCTGACGATGGTGAATAAGGCGAAATGCGCACCCCCTTGCGTCCGTAAGCTGACCACTAGGCGACCTCCTGTGTGGTCTGCAGACCCGCAGACAGCAACCAGGACAGATCGGGGCGTGCGACACCCACGTGACTGAAAATGGTTAACTGCTGTACATGAGTTAGAGAGTAGTATTTCCACAAATTTTAACAGGCTACTTGAATTGTTCAACCGATCTCTCGGAGGTCTTTCAGGAAGTCGCAAGACTGTAATTTAGGTACGAAATACTGTAATTATCACGGCAGCTAAGGCCATAGACTGACCCTAACCACTACGACTTTCAGACCGAATCCCGAATAGGAGGAGGAGGATAAATTAGAGGACAGAAGAGGAAGAATAATAATTTTTACAGAACGAAGGAAAAATAAGATGGGGCAAGTTGGAAACTGGACACAAGTCGCGCACGTGCGGCGTCGTTGAAACAGGCGTGCGAGCGTCCCAAGCGAGGTCATGTTCACGCTAGCCTGAAATCTAATTGGTCGTTTTGGATAGCCAAAGGACCAGTCTCCTGGTTTCAGGGATTGGCCACACGCGATGAGAGCATCATACAAATCCTTGAAATGTCGGACGAACGACTGGCTCCAGAGTGAGACACAGTATTGCAGCAGAAAAGTGGAGTAGACGGGCCTTCTTGCTCGCTCTAAAACCCTAGTCTAGCGCACTAATAAGCGGTTGCACAGCACCGACCAATCAGCAACGGGAGGCTTTACTGACCGAAGCAAGAGCGACGCGAGAGACCATCTCCTATCTGTTTGCCATTGACGGCCAGTAATATTCCATGCCAAAGCCGCTAAAATCGAAGATTTGCGCATAGGCGCAGTTTTTAAAGACGGACGACTATCACTGAGTTGACAGGTCTGAGAAACAACTGTCGCGGGACCTTGCAGTGGCCCTACTTCGGGCCCCTGCTGCAAAACTGCGTCTTTCGCGCGTGCTTAAGACTGCCAATCTGGTTCTCTGAAAAATCGCAGCTATCCAAACCGGCCAGCCAACTCCACGGTCGACTTATCCATGTCCCCGCTCAAGGCGCACCGACGCCTGCCGCAGTGGTGCACCGAGATGCCCGCTCTGCTGGCGCCAAACGTACGGCCTCGTCTGGGTGGCAACTTGCTCCAACCTAGACTTCATTCACGCTGTACAGCATACAATGCGCTCTCAGCGGGTGTCCAGCTCCCCCACTTTCTATGCGCGACCGGGCATGAAGGTCGTAGTGGCTGTCTGCCTCACAACAGCCGCAACCTTTCCCCATGCCGCTGAAGAAAGTGTTAACCCGCGTTCTTCTCAACCGTCTAACTGGACGAATGGGACAGTCTCACTACAGAATTCCGTAGCGCAGTCCGGACACGCTATGGAAAGGTAGACCCGATCTTAGTGAATCGGCAATGAAAAGGAAAAGATCAAAAATGATAACCGGCCGCTACGTCATCTTCAAGCCCACAACTGACATGGCTCATATGACAATCCCGTTTAGAGAGAATCTGAGCCGCCTCTCTGTTTTGAAAACTCTGTACCTTATGAAAGAACCAGGTCTCGTGTGGTAGGCGCAGATGGGCTGCTTATTTTTTTCAGCCAATGCGTCCGCGCCCATCTCCGGCATCTTGACGCCGGAGACTGGCGAGTGAGGTGAGGTAGATGCTACGCAAGTCTGCCCTGCTGTAAACTAATTCTGGCGCAAGTCGCCGGGGCTGCACCCACTCCGACGGACGCCGTCGTTTGCGACGATCGGGATCGAGCCCCGGGTGTCTGACGCTTCCGGTTTGTTTGAACCAGTAAATTTCGCGACGGCTTATCAACTGTAGCCTGTCGTTACACAGATAATTGACGGGGCAATCAGTTCCGAAAAAGCCCGTTGTAATATCCTTACCCTTTAAGGGCGACAACATCTCAAATACCATCAGGCGGCGATTGAGATGCGCCAGTGAAAGAACATACAACTCAGCTGAACTCATATTCTACAGCCCTACTAAGGCTATCGAAGTTCCACGGGCGAAGGATGCCTTGCCGTCGAATTTTGTTTACGAATTTACATGCAATTGTGGATGCAAATTCATTGAACGAACGCAAAGGCAACTGGCAGCCAGGTCAGTTGAGCACTTGCCTAAATGCCTTCTAAAGCAGGAGAATAAGATTTCATGGTCTTCTATTACAAAACACCTCCTTGATGGCGGTCATTAGGTTGACCCCAAAGCATCTTTTCGATTATTAGTTCAAGCACGAACAACTCGGTTACTGCGCTACCTGGAGGCAGCCTTATTACGACAGGAGACACCCGACCTATGTAAACAGCTGACCACGTAGTACACGTCAGTCTGCCCTGGTAGATCTGAGCCCTTTGATTTACGAAATCCTTCGGCGTGTTTACTTCGCCATTTCCTTTCCTGTATTGCGTTTTGAAGTTACAAATTTATAGATTAGTCTACGTGCAGTATACGATGACACTTCTATTTTACATTGATTTTTTCTGTCGAAGTTCAAACCTCTGCATCTTTCTCACTTGTTATCTGCGTTATGCAACAACAGGCTGCAGTTTATAAGCCGTCGCGAAATTTACTGATTCCAATACATTCCGCTGTCTATGCCTGCTTTAAATTTATTCCGGGGAAATATTGCTTCAAACTTCTGGTCTGGGTATGACTGGCTGACGACGGCCAATCAGCCAGGAATGACTATTCCAGTCTCCCTTGTCATTGTCGGTAATAACATTCTGCCTCTATAATGCGCCGCTGTGCGGCTGCTGGTTGGACTCGAGAGGGAGAGAGAACCCGTAAGACACAATGGACGAGTGAGTTCCGTAAAAACGAGCGGTGAGCGCCCCTCTAGCACCACCACGCTGTATTTGTTGGTCCAGCAA